AATCTCTGTGCTGCGCTGCAGAAGCTAATACAGACTACCTTGGTTTATAAGGCTAACTACAGAATAAGGCAATCAGGACATTTGGGATCAACTTCTTTCCGCCTCTTCCTCAGTCTGGCTGTATGGAAAAGTACTTTAAGAGTCTCAGCCTAAAGAATCAGTCTCTGAACAGTAACACAGCTGACTAGCCCATTGATTCAACTCACCTCCCAGAAGCCTTACCAATAGAACACTGTCACCAGCACCTCCAGGATGGGCTTGCTTGTCCAGTGCCATAACTTCTGGCCACCAAGATCAGTTCAACAAGTTCACCAGCACAGAAGGAATTTTAGTCTTTGTGTATGGACTGGCTGGCTACCAATTAACCCACGTGGGCTCAACTGAGGACGTTACACTGTGAGAGATGCTACTTACACCAAAAACATTAAGAGTCATTAGGCCTTAGATAACCCATTTACAGCTGCAAGTCACATGTACATCAGTGCAGCAAAGGTGTACAAATTAAAACTACTAGCTCTGAAATTACTGAAAAACATGACTGGTTAAAACAGCAAAATAACATTCTTATGAGCAAAGTGCCTTTAGCCTAGAGAGATAACTAAGGCCTGCCCTGGACATCCATGGTAGCATACAGAAGAAGCAAAACCAGGAGGAAATTCAAACACAGCATTTAGAGATACAGACACACTATTCATTTGAATTACTGGAGCTTAAACACATGAAAAAAACAATTAGCTAAGAAAAAATAGCAGAAGATAATAAATAAGAGTACATGAGGGAATGTATATGTAACTGATAATAAATTGGTGCTTAAAGGAAGTCACAGATCAGATAAAAGATGCAGGATGTCTGGACCCAACAGCATACCACTGTACACTAGTACATTGCTACACTTCTTATTTACAATACTGTCCCAAATAGGAATTTTTTCTCATAAACCCATTGCACAGCCACTACGTTGTATGCCACAGCCAACTGAATTTGGTCCCCGAAAGAGACAGGATTAGAAAGACTCAGTTAATCATGATCAAGTGCACCTTAAATTACTAGCAGAGAGGCAGGGTTGCTAGTGTGTCAGTACTCCCCAATATGTTAATAGCAGCCAGCAGGACTTACAATATTGCTTCACATTGTAGTTATCTCATTCTATTGCAAGCTGCCACTGAAAAAGTCAGTCTCATTCCTTCTTTTCCCTCCCTTTCCCCACTGCTCATTCCTAATGTCTCTCTTGCATCAGATCAGGCCACTGTACTGCCATAAGAAGTCCCGACTTAGCTCATGAGAGGTGGGGATAGGCTAGACAGGAAGAAGTTCCCCCATCAGATCATGAAGCTTGTCCAAGATCATCCTGCAGCCACGCAATCACTGCATCTGAGGCATGGAAAAAGGCAGGAACACATAAGCCAGGATGGAGGATAACAGTGGAACTGCCCTTTTTGGCAGCAACCCACAGGTCGACCATATAAGATACACGTACCTCCCAAATCAGTCTCTGAGAAAAGCAGACAAAACGAGATACACAGCTTTGTTGCCTTGGACTGATGAACACCACACCTCAGATAAGCTAACAGGCATCATAAGCTTGCTCCAGTGCTACTGATCTGCCTAACACTAGAAAACTCCAGGGCAGAATTCCAGAGGTCAATTTATCTTCAAAGTAGTGGCTTGGGCCTCTTAGCAAGAGCCTGTTGCTGTCAAGCTGAAAACCTCTCAATACGAACAGGCTCTCAACAGCCACTAGACATTTCCTAAACTCTGAACTCTGCCTCCCTCAGTCTTGGTCCGTTAAAGCAAAGCCCAGCACTGTTCACTTTCTAGACAAATGACAAAAATTTTGAAGTAGGGGAAACACAGATACAGAAAAAGATCAGTAAATTCTTTGTTTTATAGCTAAGCAAGAAAGGCAAATACATAGTAATGATTCCTCTCAATATGAGGGGACATCCACCTTCACCTATGACTAATTTTGATATGATGATCCTAATGACCATTACACTAAAGTAAGGGTCCTTACTTCAACTCTCTCTTCCTCAGTTTCTTTTCCTTACATATGCAGAAGAAGGAAATAAACTTTTCCTTGGCCCAGTCACAATCCTCATCTGACAACTTCAGAAAATTAAAGAACACATAACCCTGTGTCTCTAGGCCTATTCAACAAATGTTCTGACAAAATAAGAATCATTTCCCTTCTCTCTTCCAAGTGAGGGCATTTTTTTTTTTTCTTGTGTAAAGTACAGTGAAACCACTTCTTGTTGCCATTAAAAAAAAAAAAATATTAAGGTCACCAATAGAATGCTGAAGTACTTTAAGCAGCCTCATTCCAGTAACACAGTCACATGCTTTCCATCACACGATAGTCTGGGTGATCAGGTCACTCCACAAAGAGCAAGAGAATTCAAACAAGTCCAAAGCCCCTGCCTAAATCTTCCAAAACTTGCAAGACGTAGGCACGGCAACTGAGAAACGGAGAAGTCTGCTTTGCTTTTTCTGTTACATGCCCCAGAACACCTCCTGTCCTAAGCCATAATAAAAGTTCTATCTACCCTGGTAAGCTGTCTTCATCAGTGGCCTACAGTAGGTACCTAAGGAAGAATATAAGCACATGTTAAGTAAACAGTGATAGTTGCTTCACCCTCGCAGAGATCTGAAGCACAGGGATTTCCTGCTCCAGCCATTAAATATTTATGATCAGCCACAGTCGTGTTTTCCTGGCCTTATTCAATTGCCTTTTGAAAACAAACTGTTAGCATCTGTAAGATCTTCTACAACTATACAGCTGACCTCATCACAATGTGTAGAGAAAAAAACTTTTGCTTTGGATCTACTAACACAAGTGATCTACTAACACAAGTGATCCCTTTTTTCATAATAAACAGCACATAACTATACCCTACGCACTTTCTTTGTGCTACTCGCTCACGGTTTTCGAAACCTACCACGTCTCTCCCTCCAGGTACTTCTCAATGCAGAAGTATCCTCATCCATTTAGTATCTCATTTTAGAGAAGTATTCTTTACTTCTGATCATCCTTGTCACCTTTCTCTAACTTCCATAGCTCTGTTACATCCTTGGTACTATTGTCATCTTCAGCAACCCCTTTACTTGTTCAATTATTTCTAAACATTAAGCTGAAGTGCTCAGGAACCTGTATATAAAGACTCTGCCTCCTCCACCAAACCAAATGTATCTCTTCACATTTAATTATGCTTATTTTCTCAGACAGACACTCGGTACCACAAAGCCTTTCAAGTCTTTCCTGGTTTTTACTATCCAGAAATACAATCTCTCACATCAGTATTTCTACCCTCTTTCCCAAAAAAGGATAGCACAGACCCATGTAGGATTCCCAAAATCACCACTCACTCACATTCTCTTTTTTAATCTTTAAAACAATTACCTATCTAAGACAGAGCTCCCTGTTTACTTCACTACAGGTGCATTCCTTGAACAGCCTCTAGTGTGGAAGTCTGTCCATGAACCTTTGAGTACCAAGCACATCCAGACCAACTTTACACCAGCCAGCATTATTTGGGTGCCCAACAACTCCTTTACAGGGCTCTACTCACCAAGCACTGCATGACTTGCTTTCACAAAAGGTATGTTAACTTTACCCTCATTGCACGTATCTGAATATTTATTGATTTTTCTATTTCTTAGAATAGAAATTATGCTATTTAATCATAGCAACTTTAACCACAAACAGCAGTAGAAGAGTTAGTCTAATCAATGGTATGTGTTTGCTCTGAGACTCAAACATCTCTTTCCCGCAAATCTCCGATATCTCTATGTCAATATCCTTGAACAGATATAAGGGAAACGAGATTGCCTGATCTATTTAATATAGACACATACACATATACATACATACACCACTTTTTAAAAATAAAAAAAATCTAGCATTTTCTATCAATGCACATGCAACTTTGCTCCTTATTTTTCTAAATCCTATTTTAAGTAGGACTTTTTTTTTTTTCCTCTTTGTGAATTCTGGACTAATTTGCACCATTTCTTTCAGTTCTAAAGGTTGCATGAACTCCAGCAATCTCCCATTGTTTCTGGCTTTTCCCCACTCATAAGTTCAACATTACAGCAGCCCTGATGCAAGCCACCTTTCCCCAAGAGGCTCCCTCTACTTGGGACATCATCCCCACTTCCCAATAAATCTAATTCCATTTTCCCCTTACATCTTATTTTCTATGCCTAAAGATTGTTTTCTTCTCCTCTTCTTTCCCTCCCTGCTCCCAGGCATGGTGCTAGGAACATTTCAGGGCATGTTTACAAAATCTAAGGAGCTAGCAAGTACTGGGTCATCTCACAGTACTTGTTGGTAAAATGAACACCTTCTGTTACAGCCCACTACTGAAAACAACGGACTCAAAAGGAACTAAAGATTATTTGAAAAATGTTTTGCTGTAGATCTCAGAGAAACTGTTTCTTAAGTAGAACTCACAAACCCTGGTTCCTTAAAGGTTTGCATCCTCTCTACATTACTGCTGCTATGAGCCCATTATGACTCTTCCATACAACCCTCCGTTTTGGCTCCCTCTCACCTTCCTTAACTGGCATCCCTTCCCCTTGTCATTCCTTGAGCAATGCCAGTTACTTCTCATGCTCCCACACAGTAATTTAGGGAGCAAGAGACAATTCTATGCCTGTTTTCAAACCATGCACGTACTGAGCGGCCTGCTGTCAGACTGTGAGGTGGAAGGGGTATCGGGGAAGAAGCCACATGCAGTTTTTTCTTGTACAAAGCAGTAATTTTCAAGAAATTTACAGGATCTTCATATTTCAAAAGGCATTTGCTTCTGCTGATGATCACTCCACAGAGGAATGGACAGATAGTCAGAGCAACTGCACAAGCCTGCTTCCTAAGGAACCAAGTTACAGGTACGCCATCAGCCAAGATCTTGTCTCATAACCCTGACTTTTATTGTGGCTTCCAGTCTTAATCCACAGTTTAACTTTAATAAGTGTTAGACATTTTCTTGAAAAAAACTCACCGTTTTATTACGAAGTCTAATTATGTCCGAAACAGAGCCAGCTCCACAATATTCCATAACAATCCATAGATCTGTGTTCTTAAAATAGCTGCCATAGTACTTGACAACATAGGGGCTAGATAGAAAAAAAGTTATAGATTAATTCTTAGTAGGGGAAAAAAAATCATCATCTCAAGTGTTGTTAAAAATCAGTCTGACACACACTAACACAGTTAAAGAGCAAGTGTAATCAAATACATTTTAAAACTGTAATTAGCTTAACCAATGCCTTGTTAGAATGAAGCCTGACTACTTAATAAAATTATAAAGGCACCACTATATATATCACAAACTTTCAGTGATCCTCAAATACAGACACAGTTTTCCAAAACATTAGTCTTCTGATAGAAAGATTTGTTTCCTCGCCCAAGGCCTCTCAATTTTTAAATCTCCTCACAAAGTTATTGATGTTCCCCTTCTTGAAAAGATTGCCTTATGTTCTTCTCTCCTAAGCAAAAGAACATGGAAATTCACCCATGTCTTCCCAGTTTTGCAAGCACGAACTTATTTTAAGTACAGATCTGTACTTCTGTGTGAAACAGAATCTACTGTTGGTTTGAGCAAGACTTCTGGATTTTCAAATACATTTTCATATTTAAGTGTCTTGTGAGGAGATAGTACTGTCATAAACAGAACATATTGCTTTGCTATTTATCAGTTTGTAACTTGACATAACACTTCCTTGGAGGCTCTAGCAAAAACCAGATGTGGTATACATGGCAAGGAACTTCCTGCAGAAAAGTGATTAGATGGTATATTTATGGAATAAAAGGTTGGAGGGTTTTTTGCAGGAACTTCAGCAAAAGGAGGTTGCAGTTAGATTGCCATCCATCTCCCACAAAGTCAAGAAGTAAGATACTGAACTCAGACAGCAGCTTCTGGCCAGAACACTTGACTTGCGGGGTGGAATCACACACTATTTTGTTTTGGAGCAAGGAACTGTATTCTGGGAACGGCATGTTTGGCAGCAACATTTTTTGTTAGAAACTTAATGTAAAAAAGAGAGGACCTATGGTTGCCTCCTGCAACACTATGCTATCTTTATAAAAAGATAGGTCAAAGCTATTGGCAAACTACTTCATTAAAGAGCAACTGTTAGTACTATAGAACTTGCCTTTACAGAAGGCAAGGTGGGTCAATTCCTTCCCAACTAGTCAAAACGTCTACCAAACAAGTATGACATACTGATCTCACCACTTACAAATTCCTGAAGTGAGGAAGGTTACCATTACTTCTGAAGAAAACTCACTGATTTTCATTATCATCTCTTGCCAGATTCACACTATGCTAGTATTCCCAGCAAAAACTGTGTACTATTACAAATCAGGATAAAATAATCTTTTCAAAACATCAAGTGCTGTGCAATCTCAAAACTGTTCACATTTGCTTAAAGCCTAGGCCCTGTTAACTACATGGGCCAGCCTTTTCCATATTAACTACTTGTCTTTCAATCTACATTTTTCCCCTCAGAACACCTTAAGACTCACACTGCAGCTAGATCTAGAAACAAGCATGGAAAGGAAAGGGTAAAGTGTTAACAATTAATCATCTCTTATCTGAGATGCTGCAACAGCTCAGTGCTCTTCTGCAATATCTGTGGAATCACCACATGTGAAAATAAAGTACTAAAAAGTGCATCATCCCTTGCATCAGTACAGCACAGCACTATATTTGCACAAAGGCACACAACACATGCAGCACATGGTGCAGAGCTGCAGCCCAACCCTTCTTTTCAACCAGAGAATGGCTGCATCTTGTCCAACAGAGGAAGACTCTGTGTTCTAAAATTCTGAACCCTTACTCTTAAAAAGAAAAGTTACACAATTGTATATATCCAGTAGATACTAAATGCAATATGTTGTCCAAAGAAAAGCAAGAAACAAAGAACAAGGGCAGAGAAAAAGGGGGTAGGACGGGGGACACAAGAGTAAGACTGTGAGCAGGCCCACCTAGGACAAGAATGAAAATGGCATAAGCAGCATGGTACAGAAAGAAAGGTGAAAAATTCAGAAGATTCTCAAGTGTCACCACTTATTCTCTCTGTCAGTATATTTCATAGACATTTGGTTTAAATATCTAATCCAATCCTGGTCTAGTACTAACATACACACATTACAATCTCACATGGCTTAAGCCCACAGAATAATTCTTTCTGAGAATGCATAAGGTGCTATTTTCCAACTTATTTAATATCTTCCTTTATGTAAGGGAAAAGAAATTAAGCAAGGCAGATAAAAAGAATTAAGAGCGCAGCAACAAGAAGAATCAAAGTAAGGATATTTTAACTCCTCTTCCAGTGCACAGGAAGAGCTGAGGACCTACTCTGGGGATCAAATCCAGTTGCACAGTTAAGCAGACAAACAAGATTGCTGCTTTCTCTTTAATCTGTACCTGTTACAAAACTTGGACAGACAGACAAAAATAGTCTCACTGGGACAAAAAGGATTAAGAGGAGCTCCCCCAAAAAACCTCAGGTGTCCCAAATCCTTTTAGTATATCGCCTGAAATAACCTTATCACAAGTCTTCATGGAATGCAGAAAAAAAAAAAAATAAATCCTTCCTTTTCCTCCCATCCCCCTACCTACACATTTAACAGGCTTCTAGCACTCAGAGCAGTCAATGCAGAGGGAATGGATTAAGGGTCCAGTGTGTTCACAGATCAGAGTTTGCAGGCAGAGGTTCTAAAGAAGTCTGGAGAACAGCTGCATGCTCACGTGCTAGATACAATGTACTCTGAGGTCTCTATCCCTGTATTTACAGATATATATTTGAACCTTCTCTCCTCCTTCATGAACCCATAGACAAGATGCTGTGGAGTAGTATGATCAAGCTCCATGTAACACCTAAGCAAAACATTCAGCAACAAATATGAATGAATTCAGAGTGTATTAAAAAGTTTATCTTTAAATCTGGGATGAGTATTGCTCTTTGCCAAACAAGAGCAAATTTTTCATTTAAAGACGACTTCAACACCGACACACCACAAAAGCACGAACACAGCTGAGAAATAACAGACTAGTTGCTATAACACAATTCACCAGGTTAATGACTAAAGCAGTCAATATTTCAAAGAAAGTTTCACCTAGAGTGCAAAGCTTTCCTGTTTGTACTTCGAGTCACAAACAATAGATACTTGTACCACTGTTCAGACGCGAGTAAAGACTCACCCTAGCAAATCTGACTTTCAAGTTACAGCCAAAACCTTAAAATACTATCCCCTAAAAATATACAAATAAAGAATTGATAACTCCACAGAAAAGAGGAAATGTAATTTCTGCACCCTACAGACACCTGATGTTAAGGCTTTCATTCCTACAACATGAGCAGCCATAAGACATAATCATTTTTGAACAAGCGGAACGTAACAGTCCTCCTTCAGAATGACTACAAGATTGTTCACTTTTTAAAAGTTATGTTCCTGCATGAAAGAGGCAACCAACAGAACACAGTTTTGGAAGTTAACTGCTAGCCATTAATCCTGTGCTATAAACATCTCTATTGATCTTCTGAAACAGGCCTGTGAATTCTGACTTACCTAAGGCACTTACAGGAAATATTAACCTTCGGGCTTGCTACTGTAAGTGAAGCAAGCATAGAGAATTCTAAGCAGAGGCAAGTATTTATTCTTTCAACAGTTTCTGTTCTGTACACTATTTGTACTTCCTTCAACCCAAGCTAAGGATAGGAGGAGGTCCACAAAGTGGTTCCATTAAATAAATTGTCCAACACAGACTACTTTAATTTTTCATATAAAAAAAATTGCAGCTGTGTACATTTCAGCTATATTCACAAGTACAAATACATTTTCACATAAGACTCTCAGAAAGGGAGCAGAATTGTCACACTTACCTGTCACACTGTTGCATTATAGAGATTTCTTTAATTATTTCTTGAAGATCCGACTCCACGGGGACTTGTTTAATTGCTACAACTTGTCCAGACTCTTTGTGTATTGCTTTAAACACACTACCATAAGACCTGAAAATAAAAAAGGGATTACTTTTTTTAAAAAAAAAAAAATTAAAAAAAAAAAAATAAACTGCTTCTCATTTCCATTATGCAGAAACTTTAAAAAGTCACAGAAGCTCTAAGTTCACTTTGCTAAATTCATCTATCCTTAATAGAAAAGGGACATCAAAAATGCATAAATATATTTGGGGAAGCATGGAAGCTTAGTGATGTATGCATTTACTTTCTTATTAAAACTTGTCTAGAGAAGCATTCCTTAGGACATTTACAGTCACTCTCTCTGTAACTTAATATTCAAACACATGCTTTATATACCATTTCCCTCTGATCCCATCCCCTCATAAATAGCTGCACTTACCCTTCACCAAGTTTCTCCAGAACATCAAAGACTTCTTCAGGCTGCTTAGTTAAACTATCTTCACTTAGCTTTTTCAGTTTGCTAAAAGAACAACAGAAGTTATTTGATTGTTTTGAGGGGAAAAGACACAGAACTCAGACAAACTTTCATGCAAGTGAGCAGACAGAAAAGATTATAAAGAAAAACATATTCAAATTAAAAGAAAATGCCTAATTAAAGTACAGTAACAAAATTTTCATCAACCATCATATAAGATGGAGAAAGTTATGACAACTTTTGCCATTATCACTTTCCCACTAGTGTTTGCTCTATTCAGAGCAGCACAGGACCAATTCACTGTCCAAACCACTTCCTTTGCTAAAGCAGAAACAGCCACAGAATACAGTAAAGCTCACCTTTTGGTAAAAAGTGGTCAGTAGGCAAACACATGCCCACTACTGCCTAGAGCATGCCATGTTGTTATCTAGGATAGTATAAACCACACAAAGTATCCACCTTCTGAACTATACCACTCAAAAGCCAGTGAATTACATCAAGTTAAAAGCAGAATGCAGTCATGGTGACTCTGGGAACATAAGGTAGCACTGTCAGAGGTGGTAGCAGAACACGGAGCTGCCAAGAGCAGAGTACTCTAAGAGCTGTTGGGGAGGTCCCTTTCGCATCTTCGTGAATGTACAGAGGGACAGGTGCAACAAAATCTCTCATTACATACCACCACCTTATTTTGCCCTCCAGTTCTCTCACATAGTCTCAGATCACTGGGTATCACCCTATGATTTCTCCCAGCACCTTCAACCCACTCTTAGCACCATCCTTTGTCCTTCACAGTCCTTTCCCCAGTCTTCAGCATTCCCATCTATCCAGCCCCGCAGATGCCTGGCAGATCTCAGAACACAACTTGGCAGCAAGCTTGTGATGGAGCTGACACTGAACACAACACAGGAAAATATAACCACACACACATTGCACTGAGGCCGGGTGGTTGCAACATGAAAATCTTTCACCCTAAAAGTTACAGGGAATTTTGCTGCAAGATTGAAATAACAGGTTAACTCTATATGATAGCCAAGGGAACTATTAAAGTAGAAGATGAGCTGAAGAATAGCTGGTGCTGGAGTGTTAGATACAGACAATGTATTCCATATGCAGGAGGAGGAAAAAGGAAAAGATAAAAAAACCCCACACAACTTTAAAGCACAGCAGATCATGAAGAATTTATGGAAAGTATGTTATACTGTGGAACTTTCCTGGAAATTAATACAAAATAGGAGAAGGGAGGAGGGCACAGACAGAAAAGACTGTCAAATCTAACACTGGAAGAACAGTGTTCAAAAGAGACTCCATATTAAGAGATGCAATTCTGTGATATATAGAACTAATAAAAAAATAAAGTGAAATGACTGAGGAAGGAATTCCTCAGAAGAGACTTGTTACTTCCAACTAGCTAAGTAAGGACAATAATTTAAAGTAATTGTATAATTCTATAGGTCATATGGATTGGTGTTACGCAAGGAAAGCAAGGGGGGGGGGGTGTACACATTTATGTATCATATAATCGCTGCATCTGCCAAATAGTTATTTGAGTACAAAAAGCATCAACAATCAGTAAGGAAAGGTGCACAAACTGCTCTAAAGATCATGCAGTTTGCTATAGCAAGTGGGCAGGCAGGAAGCTGGAAAGCATGTGTGTTTAAGGAAGAACAAAAATCTCCACAGCAAAGGAAAGGCACAACTCATGAACACAAAGAAAAAACAGCAGAAAACTCAAATGAGAGCAGCTAAATAAAGTCTGCAAAAGTGGCCTACAAATAAAACACAGGAACACTTAACTCTGCTTTCTTTTTTGCCCTCTCTCTGCTGGTTAGAGACTAAAAGTCAGAAAGATGGAACTTAAATCTTGCAGGGAAGGACATATTTAATTACTAAATAAGTGTAAGTTGAGACAAATAAAAAGAGAAAAAAATTTTGCAGGTAGGTTTTAAAGAAAAAAAAATAATTCATTTTGCTTCTTTTGTTTCAAATTCTTTTTTCCTCCCTCCCATCAGGTTATCTGCAGCCTTAAAGGCAGCACTGACAGAATAAGTTACTGCAATCATCCTCTGCTTGCCACCAACAAAAAGCACACATAGCATGCATACGATACCAGCAGAGACTCAAAAAAACAAAGAGCATGACCATTAGACAAGACTCTCACTTGAGTGAAGAGCTGTGTGACAAAAGACACACTCAACAGAACAGAGGAGGGACTGAACTTTTTAGTGACTGCTAGAAAAAACATGCAGTAACCTCAACCAAAGATGTCTACTAAGAGAACACTTCCACCTCCTCATCTAAAGAGCAATGCCTGCGAAAATGAGAAGGAAAAAATATCGCCCCTACCAAAAGGGTTCCAGCAGCACCATTAACTGCAAGACACTGGGAGTGCTTAAGAGGAGTTAGGGAAACAATGACAAACAGCTATAAATTGATCAAAACTAATGTCACTGTCAAATACCGTTATCTGGAGTACCTAAAAGGCAACCTGGAGACCAAAGAAATAAGCATTCTGTAGTTTTAAAACTGTTTGCACATTATTAAACTCTGACAAATATGTTATGAGATCAAATAATACTGAACACTAAGGCAGCTAAATACTAAACCTATTTAGAGCAAGAACAATACATCAACCTCAGGAATTTCATCACCAAATACGCTGCTCGAAGTACTCCGTACTCCTCCACAAATACCTTGTAAGAGCACAGATGCTAGGTCCCGTGTTCAAGTGACAGCATTAACACCACAGTTCTTTGAACCATAGAAAGATCCCAATGACTCAGCCTGTCTAATGATTTCTCTTTCTAGAAGTTTAACGGAATTCCCAGCTCTTTAATTACAGGACAGCATGTGATATACCCCGAAAGGGTTGCAATAAAGTGCTTGTGAAAACTTGGTGAGAAGCAGGGAGGAGGAAGATGACTGTTTCAACTGTCTGTAAAGTACTAAGTAGAATATACGAAGAAAAGACTAGAAATATTATCTTGTTACATTGATTAAAAACAAGTGACAGCTTCTTAATCAGGAGTTGTCCACACTTTGAAAACGTGCAACGTAAGACAGAGACAGGTATTTCAGATGGGTCACTGTTGTTATTCTTAAAAGCATTAAAGTGTTCTACATGGGAAGTGAATACTATGAGCACCCAGCAAAATACCAATCTGCTAAGGCATGACTAGAAATACGAGGGGGTGGGGGGGTCAAATGTCTCAAGAACAATCAGAGAGGAAAAAAAAAAAGTCTCATTTCTCTTCCTCATGGGTCCTCTACTTTCATAACACAAGTGTTTAAAACAAAACAAATAAAACAGTAAACTCAAGTTCTGTTTTACCCTGGCCACAGGATAAAAGTGCCATATATATAAATAAAATAAAATGTATCTGTGAGAAAGTCTAACAGAAATGTTTAAAAGACAAGTATAAAAACTGGGGAAGAAAGTCATTCTGCTTTTGCTTGCTCTAGGAAATCATCAAGTAGTGACTACAGGCTATTTCAGTAGTTTTCCAGGAGAGCTGTTCCTGAAAGCAAGACTAGTTAAACTACAATCATGGGAAAACAAGAGTTTTAAAATAATTTTCTTGTTCCAAGCAGGTTTGACTTTCTGCATAACACCTCATCTCTTAAGCAAGAAAGATACACCCTAGCAAAGAATTTTACTTTTATAAATCCAGTTGATGGGAGAAAACATTCCTATTTAATGTTACCAGAATCTTACATGTCATTGAGTACGTCAGCAAAACTCCACGTAACTAAAGGCAGAAAAGTCTAGAATCAGCACAAGGCACCCAGGACTACCAAACCTAGCGTGAAGATCAGAAAAATCTGAATTAGCACCTGAAAGAGGAAGAGGTATTTTTTCCATGCCCTGCAACACGAAAAAACAAAGTATGAGTTTAGTGTCCTATGGTCATTATGTACAGACTTTACAAAATAAACTGGTGATGTGCTACCAAGGTAGGCATTAAAAAAAGCAGAAAGCTAACATCAAAAACAAAAAGCAGGACTAGAGAATAGAACTCCATCAATTACTGTCATGAGTTATGGAAAACTAGACAGCTGCTCCATGAAACACAAATATATGTAGTTTGTTTTGCAGAAGAACTAGCAAATTGAAACACTTAAAAAGAATGGCTGGGATCGATTATACTGATATATTAAAAGTGAAGCTAGTAAGAGAAATCACTGCAGTCATCACAAATAGAGGTGGCATGTGAAAGCCTTGAGAGGTTTACGCTGCTTTGCATCGTTCACACAAGTGGAAGCAAATTTAAGACAGTTCACATTATTATATTGCGAACCTGCATTGAGTTTCCCACCAATAAAACCCAAGCAAACTTACACTTTTGTCCCATCGCTTTCAGGAGGAACTTGACAATTGTCATCCATATAACCTTCCATGTTCATTGACACAAACATTAAAACCAGCGTATTTTTCACAGACAGTTCAGGTTATAAAAACAAGTTTTTCCCCTTAACAAAAAAACCTTACATTTCAGTGACAATGAAACTGTCCAAATTTAGAGAAAGGACTGGAAAAATCTTAATTAACATGCTCCATGCTTGTTAGAAAATCTTTTATTTGGCAGTAGCACACAGGAGATGGGCAAGATTAAAAACTATGTATTTGACAGAACTGCACCTCTACTTCCTTTGCTTTTCACTTGTAAGCAATCTACCTCCTCATACCCAAGTATGCCAATCGATACAGAAAATAACAGGAGGCAAATTTTGGAACTGACTATTTCAAAAGTGAACATTCTTTCCAGTGAGGGAAAGAAATATAAAGCACATCTGAAACACAGTTAGAAATTCGGGTTCAAGAAAACATATTGTGTCAGCTGCTGCACAATTTGTGCAGGATAAAACGAGAATACTTACTCTAAATTATTTGTAAAAGTAAACAAAATTATTCTGAAAAGGACTCCTCCCTTAAAAGTCTTTTGTTACTGTTCCAATACATCAGTCAAACAAGAAAAGCTAGTAATTTTGACAGCATTCTCACTTTAAAGCCCCAGTGGCCTAGCCTGTCACTTGGGCATCATCTCTGCTACTTTCTGAAGGGCTGTTTAAAGTATGTTGTGTGTTCCTTTACAGGGAACAGGAGAACAAACGTGCAAAACACCTGTGAGAGAACACTGGGATTCTAGGACACCCACACAGCTCTGAAGGGTTCACATTAAATTCTTGCTGCCTCTAGATTAATGTCTTGCACTACAGATATTATGGCCATAGATCCCTGTCGATAACTGCTCCTGGGGACAGCAGACACCAAAGTAAAGAAGTCTGGTGCTCACATCTGTTTCACTAAGTAAACACGGTGTGTCCATCCCAAGCCACTACTACTGCATCCAAGGCAGGCATCAAAAAATTCAACCCACAAAAAATAATCTGTACTCCTTCTAGCCTTGCAGAAAAAGCAGGTGGCCTAGCAGAATAGTTGGGAACATCAAACAATCAGAAAGCTGTAAAAAAAAAAAAAAAAAGAACCCCCCCAAAAAACCTGACAAAGCAGATATATATGCACATTTATTAAAAACTTAGTTCAAATCTAATGAAAACCTGAGTTACTACCTTATGAAAAACAGTTCAAATCTTCCCTCCCACTAAAGAAACAAATCCACTAAGTTCTCATCACATTCAAATTTCCAGAAATAAGCTTCAAAAAAAATGGAAAGTATAAAAACTTAAGACTTACCACTAACTGTGCCAGACAGTTTAGAAGTTCACTCATCAGATCTCTAGTTATTCCTGACTAAATCTAAGGATTTAAACAGCTCCTTACTTTCAATTAGGCCAGATATACACCTCCAGCTAGGTAATAAAGTTAGAGCAAATCCTAAATCTTCTAATAAATAAATAAAAATAAATTTTGTAGGTTATGATCACTCCGAATTTTATTTTCAATTCTTTGATATCACCAGATCTCAAGCTTTGCACTGGTGCTAGTGACACTGATTACCCCTCAGACACTCCTATTTCTTCTCCTAAAACCTTGCTGGTGCTTATCCTACTGTCTTTATTTGAGACATACAGCACTGTCAGCCTGAAATTACAGTGCAGGCCTGTCCCTCCTCCCTCCGTTGCCTGCTAAAAACACTTTGCATAACAACTACAAATCAATTCTCGGTCAAAGTTTTCAGTAGTAGATACCATTCCATTGCCTGCTAAAAACACTGCATAGCAGCTGCTAATCAATTCTTGGTCAAAGTTTTCAAGTAGGTATTGTTATTTGATCATAGAACAGTTTGGTTGGAAAAGACCATTATGATCATCTAGTCCAACCGTAAACCTAGAGTTCACCACTAAAGCATGTCCCCAAGTACCACATCTACATGTCCTTTAAATACCTCCAGGGATGGTGACTCCACCACTCCCCTGGGCAGCCTGTTCCAATACCTGACAACCCTTTTGGTGAAGAATTTTTTCCTAATAGCCAACCTAAACCTCCCTCAGTGCAACTTAAGGCCATTCCCTATTGTCCTATCACTTGTTATTTGGGAGATGGAGGAAAAAACAATAGAAGTTCAAGACTGCATTCTTCTCAAGTCCCATCATCCCACAGGAAGCTGTTTTAAAGGATTTTAGAGGTTTGAAATGTAGAATGTAAATGTTTTAAAGTAGAATGTAAAAACTTATTATCTTCTACCACCAATTTATATTGTGCAGTGCCTAGATTTTTCATTAAATTAACATGAAGCAATAGTAAAATACTTGGAGCTCTAAGACAGCAATTACATATGTAAACTGTGTAACTACATTCTGTCTGTAACTAGACAAGAAAGGATTGTCCCAATTTAGATATACTCACACAATTAAAGCAAAAGTATTTTGTGCACTAAGACAACAGCGTCACATTTACAGCACAAGCTCGTGGTTTCACACACACACACACAAAAAGAAGTCAAATGATAAATGCTAAAAAAAAAAAAGTAGTAATTAATACAATCAGATAGCCTTTATATTTCAGGCAATACACATACTACGGGAATACTTTTGATTTTTGCCTCTTCCCACTCCTTGATTTGCAATTGCAACTATGCAACCCCCCACCCCCACAAGCATCCCTCCCTCCACGGGCAGCACACACGGGCACTTCCTCACGTGGACAGAGAACAACAACGACTTACGCTGGTTTCCTCCACAGAGAGCGCACAGTCCTCGGGGCTACAAAGGGCTCTTCTCGGCGACGAAGTTTCCCTCACCTCACACCGAACTGTTCCTCTCGTAACCCAACCAGCCCCTAAGGGTTTGCCTCTACCTGGACGCTCACTCACGGTGGTTATTTCGGGACCCCCCACCGCCCTTCCCCATCGCAACACAA